GACTTGGGCCCTCATTTTGTGCTATCGACAAATTATGAACGGACTATAGGTTATAAAAACAACTATCAATGAAATACTTTTTCAGATTTCGGTAAATTCGTTTATTGAGCTCTTTAATATCTTTTGGTAACTTATTAAAGATATTTGAGCCCATCACATAAGGTGAATTAGAAGTAACCTTATATTTACAATACTGTATGTGGAAGTTATGTTTTTGACGAGTATTCCTACTATGTATGATTTCATTGGTGATAAATTTATGTTTGTTTTTATAGACAAAAATTGACAAATCGAATATATACATGTGAAATGTTGAATTGTTTAAATAAACTTCTGCAAGAGGCCTTTTTTGAGGCTTTGACCATTATTCTCAAAATATACTTCTGCGCAACGATATCGAAGAAGAGTTAGAAACAACTACAGAGATACATCGTCATAAATGCGAAAATACGAAATTAATCTATCTGGTAGGTCGCTATTAGCGATAGTGACAATTAAATTGGTATGACGCTGTCAGTTTGTGAATTTTCGAAATTGAATTAATACTAATTGTGTGTTGTTGTTCTGTTCTTAATTTGTTACTTCAATAATTCACTTGTTATTAAAATGGCATAAACAAATGAGAAAATGACTGATATGCATTACGTTTACGGTCTTACTGACAGCTATCAGAAAACAACTTCTCCCCTGGCTAATACCACGAAGGGCGTTGGATTATATTCGACAGGTGTCAGTGCAGAATTCTTCACTGACGTTATTCCTGCATATGCATATGCTGCATAGGCGATAGAACTTCCTAAATAGATTTTCAATTATTGGAACACACTTGCAGATACCTGTCTCCATTACAATTTCCTCCACTCTCTGTTATTCTCTAACTGAATGACATCTCAACGATGGCTTAATCCTAAGGTATGTATATCCGTGCCGAGACGATGAATGACACTGAGCCTATCAGCTGTCACTACGGAACCTTCGAGATACCGGGCGTCATCTCGTCGTAGCATCGCCTTGTCACGGTAATGCGGGGCTCTGCCGTGATTGACCTTCTTTCCCTAGCTACTCGTGGGACTTTTATGGTCAGAGTAAACTTAAATTTTTTTTCTGACGCTGAGTCTACAGAGGAGATGGATGTACAGCTTACGACTCCAACAGACCTCCTTATGAATTTAGATCAGGAGCGAGAGCTTTTCAACTCCCCAGCTCCTGATTCAATAACCTAAAAAAACGATTTGGTGGTGCAGCCAGGAAACAACTGAGTGGTCTCCTGAAGAGCGGGGTACCTTATGAAACCTCCTTGCACCAAATTCTTGAGCGGCGTACGCAGAATCTGTCTCAGGTAGAGGAACAAACCCCCCATGAGCAATTTTCACCAAAACCAGAGGCGAAAAAGCTCTGCAAGGGTGAATCTATGGCATCGTCATGTGTAGCTGACGTGCAAAAACCCTGCATATGGGAAGGTTGTCGCGGGTATCAAGGTGGAAATCTGGCACCTTGACTATCCGACTACCTCATTAACGATGAAACAGCAGAGCATATACTTTGTGCCTGTGCCGCTGGGGGCCGAATCAGGTTTTTAGAGTTCGGCAGAGCCGTACTCTTAGCAGCTGACCTGAGAGACCACTCACCATACAAACTAATCGGCTTCGTTAGGAAGCTGGGTTTATTTGGTAAATTGGGGATAGGTGTGAGCCACAATAAACTCTTGCGGGTTGCGTGGGACCCACTCACTTTGGACCTAACCTAACCTAACCTAACTATTAGCATATGCCACTGTCAACATTTCAAGTGTCGTTGAGCATCCATTTCCATTTTCACACAAAATTTGATGCAAATTCATTGATCCATTGTTTTCGATAGCAGAAAACCGCCGATCACGCAAAACAGTTTTAACTTTTATGCCTCTCACCAGCAATTTAAACATACTAAACAGCTAAAACTGTGAGACCAGTGTACAATATATAAAAATCGATAATCGAAAGTAAGTAGCCCGGGAAATTTGAACAGTCCGTGTTTATATACTCTAGAAATTCAGTAAATTCAAAATGAAAGTTGGCGAATTCTATAATCTTCCCAATGGAGTAATTTTTACATAATTTGTTTCACTCAAAGTCTCCACCCTGTAAAAATGGTCTACTGAATCTATTCTTTTCCACTCATAAATAAACCAGATATGATCTCGTGCAGAACCTTAAAAAAAGCTATCTTCCATGAGCTGACATATTTCCTCCCACATTCTTTTTGAAACCCCGTATGACAACGTACAAGTCGTGCAATCCTTGAAACTTTTTGACGCGTTACTGCATATCAGTGATCGCTCCAATTGCACCTCATCATTCCTGCCCACGTTTTTGCGAAACTGTCTCAGGGTGAACGGATGTTTTACAGAAGAGAGGATGCACAAGTGCAATCGGAATCCCTTCTCTTATGCACATCGTACAACTGCATAATAGTGTTACATCTCTCTGAATGCAGCAATGATTGTTTGGTGTGATAGCATTAAAAATAACGTCGTTTCGAGGATTTTCTTGGTGAGTATTTTCATAGAACAAATTATTTACTTCACCCACAGTCTGCAGAAGATTTCAATATTAGATTTATCAATCCAGACTTCATAGTTGCAATGTGAGTATTTTCAAGTCTAGTGTGCCTAATTTCAAAACTTGCTAAAATAGGTCTTCGGGGCTTTTTCTGAAACCCTTATTTGCTCTGGTAAACATTGTTTTCATGTCTTTAGAAACGTTCGTTACGTAACAAATTATCTCAGAAAAACAACTCTGTAACAATGAGTTTTATAAAACATACCTGCCCCAAACTTCATGACTGTTGTAATTTTTATAATGTTGCAAAAAAAAAGTAATGATGGAATTATAACAAAATAATTCACCGAAAAGGTTGGTCAAACCTTATGTTATGTCATAACACGAGTTTTAGAACACATCAGAAATTCAAAAAATGTATGTCAAGAACTTCACAGGCCTTTGTTGATTATGAAAAAGGGCATGGCCACATTTTTTATTTTATATTGTTCAACAATATTTATCTGGAAAAATTTCGAGCAAAATGCGTCATATCTTCAAACACGATAGTGTCAACACTGAAAAACATGGTGATGGCCTCAATACTGCATATTTCAATTCAATTAGTTGAATTCTGATTTTTTTTAATTCTAATTCTCTCTAACATCGATAATAACAGGTACCACCTTAGCAAAATAATAGATGAAGCCATTCGATTGTTTCATCTCTTTGTGTTAAGATAGTGCTAAATATTTTGTTTTTCACTGCTTATATCTAATTAATTTGTGGCAGGTATGTTTTTTAAAATTAATTGTCACAGAGTCCTGAAGAAAAATTTAACTGAATTGAAACATTGGCAGGAAAATAATTGCTTTTCTAAGATAATTTAATAGTTTGTCACTAAACAAACCCTTCTAGAAATTGGGCATTTGGATCAATTGTTTGTTACGATTTCCATCGTACCATACATTTTTGTATGGTACGCAATAGAATACAATAGGATTTTTTGATGATTTTTTTACTGATAGTGAAATGTGAAGAATATAGTATTTGTCTAATTTTCAACGACAAGAATGAATAAAATATATTTAGATTATGATAATTTACTCGTATACCATTATGATACACGATAAACTCTTAATAATAATATGCTTTATTACTTAATGAACATTAGGTCTTATTGACAAAACTGCAAATTTTCATCAGTCATCATAAACATAAGCATATATATACACACATATAATATACATATACACACATACACATATACATATACATATCTATACACACACATACATATATAGCGTACAAATAATGTTAACTATAGTTATACGAATAATGGCTAAATTGATACTAAACTCTCATACGTTAAGGCCTCATGAAAAAAATGTGTATTGGAAGGTGTTAAGTGACAGTATATTTGCATCTCTTCTAGCAGATTCTCTTCGACATATTTATGATTAAATCTTAACACATTATATAAGGTGGTCTGAAAAATTTGTGGGATAACACACAGATGACGCTACTAGTATTGAATCCATATGATTTTTAGTTAACCCTAATCAAAAAAAGAGACAAATTACACAGCTGGAGGACTATTAGTTTGTGTGATAAAACATTTTATTGGTTGGCATTGCTTTTTGGAGAAAAAAAATGACTTCTGAGGCTTGGTTTGATAAACATTATTCAGACTTTGCACCAGGAAAGTCAACCGTTGAGAAGTGGTTTGCTAAGTTTAAACAAAGTGAAATGAGCACCAAGGACGATGCACACAGTGGATGCCCCAAAAAGATTATTACCGATGAAAACATCAAAAAAGTCCACAAAGTAATTTTGGATGATTGCAAAGTGGAGTTGATCGAAATAGCTGAGGCTTGAAAGATATAAACGGAATATGTTGGTCGGTCGGTAGCCAGGCGTTCAACGTGGGTGCTTTGTTCACTCACTCGAATTAACTGCCGTGTTGGTCGATAGTTCAAGCGCTAGTCTGAACGATCGATTTCCACTTGCTATCGTCCAACCCGTGGTAGGAATCACAAGTTAAAAGGTAAGACCTCGTTAATCCTTAGCTCGCACAAGTTTCGACTTCTGAGGGTTGTCGATCGTAGGGTTGCGACAGCTGGTATGTGCTCTGCTGTTTCATCATTTTCCAAACAGAGGTGACATACACTGTCTTCTGATAGTCCGAGTCTCTGCATATGATGATTCAAATGACAGTGACCTGTAAAAAGGCCTGTTAAACAATGTAGTTCGTCCCTACTGTAGTCCAACAACTGTTTGGTATCAAGCTTCGAATGGTGAATAAACGCCTTGGAGGCCTCCAGGTGTTCAATCTTCATTTGGCAAAGCCTAAAGCGATACCAATGACAAGTTCTGGTCCAATGAAGCTGCTTGCGGCACCCTCCTTTGCAAGGGAACAGACTCATTGCCTCCTTCCAGACCAGTATGGCTAGGAATCCAGACGAAAGACAATCTGTTAAGTCTTCCTATCGAGGAGACTCATTTTTGGCAATTTGCTACCAATTTAGACATTGCTTGGTAGGAGCCAAAAACTCCACTCCTAGGAAGGTTGACATCTCTGTCTTGGGTATGCGACTGAAAACACCTGCACCGGAACCGGAAGGTGTTTTTGATCCATCTGTGAACCAACAACTATCTGCTATTAATATTTCCTTCTCCTGGAGTATCCAGTTCTCTCTACTCAGTAACAATACTTTATGAGGCAGTTTCTAGTTGACAGTTGGAGGCATACAGTCAGAGGTCATTTCCAGAATGCTGTGATTTCCAGTTTCAAACAACAATATGTTGCACTCTGATTTCTGCAATTGACAATATGCACAAGTTTATATGTAGTCCATCTAGCCTCTCTCTCCAGAAAAATGTGGAGAGGAGATAGATCTAGAAGAATCTCCATGGCCGCTGGCAGTGTGGTACTGATGGTACCACTGATGGCCAGACAAGCCTGCCTCTGTAAGCCAGAGAGCTTCGCCTCAGCCGTGTTCTGTAAAGCCTTTGGCTACCAGGCAATTGCTCCAGACGTAATCATTGCTCTGATAATCATCACATAAATCCAATGGATTTGTTTGGGACCTAAAAACCAAGTTTTACCAAAATCCTTCGATAGGTTAATAGGGACAGTTTGGCTTTGAGTGAAACTTTTTCCAAGTGAGCGTTCCAGGTGAGTTTTTTATATCAAGTAGAATGCCAAGATATTTCACCTCTGTTCCAAATGGAATGACCTCACCATTGAGGGAAAGTGACGCTAGATGGATGTTATATGACTCCATCATTTCACACCATCATATGAGTGGACTGCACGTGGTGATCCGACCCCAAAGCTTGCAAAGAAGCAACAGTTGGCTGACAAGGTTATGGATCAGTATTTTGGTATGCGCCTGGTATAATATTCATCAACTATCTTGAAAAGGGAAAAATCATCGACTGCGACTATAACATAGATTCACTGAAGCGTTCGAAAAACAAAATCGTCTAAAACGGACCCATTTGAATTTGAAGAAAAAAAAGGAAGTGTTGTTTCATAAAGATGATGCATCGTGTCACAAATTAATGAAAACAATTGCAAAATTGCATGAATTGGGCCCCGAATTACTTCCGCATCCACCATATTCTCCAGATCTGGCCCCTAGTGACTTATTCCTGTTCTCAGACCTCAGCAGAATGCTTGCTGGAAAGAAATGTAGCGCCGATGAGGTAATTGTCCAAACTGAGGTCTATTTTGAGGCTGAAGACAAATCTTACTTTATAATGGTATGGACCTATTTTATAACCGCTATAATCGTTGCGATGCTCTCGAAGGAAATTTTATTGAATAATGAAAACAAAATTTTCTAGATACTATCATACCTTGTTACTACTGCTGCATTGTATACATCGCAATGCCGTAACACTCGCACAATTATGTAAAAATACTGTTTGGCGTGTTAATACAATATGCATATTCAACTCAACATCACGAATTACTAATTGACTAACAGTTAGTTGACTTGCGTGAATGAATGATTTAACTGAAGGTTAGCACACGTGTAACAGGAACTTGCCTGGAGTGATGTGTATAGTTGAAAATTATATGCCACACATAATTGAAGAAATGAATATGCTGTGTCAAAATGATACGTTTTCTTTGGAGCTTTTTTTAAAGTTCAAAATGTGAATTGTCTCAAATTAAAAATTATAACTGGGAAAAAATTCATTGGAATTCATTTTTTATTATTTTTCTGATGTAATGGCTTATTTAGAAAGCGATTTCATGCAATACAGCATTAAACCTCATACAATTAAGTACTTTAAATCTGTTCAAAAAAATCTGTTTTTCCGTTAACTTGTGCGAGCTAAGGATTAACGCGGTCTCACCTTTTAACGTGTGATTCCTAACACGTTAGGACATACACACGTTGAATGCACATACATTGTGCATTCAATATAGATGCTTCAAAGCATGAAATTTAAATGAATATTTTCGAAGATATTGAAGATTTAAAATGCAGGAACATAACGTTTGCGGCCTCCCGGCCGAGGAGGGCGTTGTTGAGACCATTATAAAATACAAGTATGTGGGGGATCACATCATAATAAACAACTTTTTTCTATAAAATGTTTGATCAAGATAAATAATATTGCAAAAATCGTGTGACAAAAACCAACCATGTTTGAAAAATTTCAAAAAGTTGTATCTTGAAAACGAATTATTTTTCTATAAACATTTCATGGTAAAAAGTTGTTTATTTTAACGAGGTCCACCACATATTTAGTTTCTGTAATGTTCTCAGTAACTTTACTTTTTACTTGGAAGAGGTATGGAAATTATATTTTTTCATGAAAAGTACCAAAAATTTATTGTCGAAAAAGTTAGGGCAATTTGAAATAAATAATGACAGCGTACGTAGCGCCCTCTAGATGTTACATAAAAAGTAATAAGAAATTATGATTTTCCACGTCAAAAAACTCCGTATACCAAATTTCATGCAAATAACTTATTTTTGCAAAAGTTATTT